CGTGAATTTGGTTGTGGCGATGTTACCTCGCTCTGATGATGTCCGTCATATGACGGACGAAAGCTTAGCACGTTTTCACCGGAATCGCGATGTTACCTCGCTCTGATGATGTCCGTCATATGACGCACGAAAGCTCAGCACGTGTTCACCGGAATCGAAGGAGATTACCTCAGAAACAGCGTCAGCATGAATCTTCCAGTAAAGCCAATCGACAGCTGGTCAAGAGGAATCCGCCGTCGTTTGGAAACAGCGTCAACATGAATCTCTTAGTAAAGCCAATCGACAGCTGGTCAAGAGGAATCTGCCGTCGTCTTCTGGTGGAACCGACCTTCGAATCTCTTCACCCAACACTTCCAATCGTAACGGAAGTAAGCTCAACACGGGTTTAATCAAGGAAACGAATCAGGAAAGCAATGCCTGATACCTGCAAACATGGAAATCAGAGACCAAGCGCTCTACTCGGTGAGGCGGCAATGTAAGTGCTTCTATAACCTTGAGAAATAGCGCCTGGAGTAAAACACACACTGGGACTGGATCCGAGTGAAATCGGTCAACCAGAAAGATAAGAAACGGATCTACAAGACCATAAAGGAGATCCGAGTAGGAGGCCCGAGTCAGATTAGCTTATCGAAAGAGGGGATCAGGGTGAATAGCAGGTGTGATGAGGCCAGACTAAATTTGCCAAAAAATAGCACACATTTTGACTAGTGGGTAAACAAGCGAGTAGTTGTGATAGGGCCGGAGTTGCATAAGAGGATAAAGAGTTGATAGATGGGTCAGGACAGAAAGAGGAGTGATAGTGCAACCGTTTTCGACAGAACATTGGTCGAGGGATTGACTTCACTTGCGTCTTTGACGAGTTTGTAGCTTGGTGCGGAGAATGGCAAAATTCTCACTAATGATGCCGATTACGATTCCGATGAAACGTTTGATAATGTACCAAGTATACGATCTGATGCTGGTAATTATGAAAACTACCATGACAGAAGACTTAGGACAAGGTGCATTCTACTAAGTCGCCATAATAACAGGACCAAGTTGTGACGACGAGGTCAACCCACTTTTATAAATCGAAAGGAAACTGCGACTATAGTGGAGGCCACATCATCTTTGTCTTCATATCTTCGAAGAAATTAATGAGCTTAAAGAATTTTATCACAAAGGTAAAACCTGGATTAAGAGGCAGAATTCGTCATCACTCTATTGCTAACTAATTATTTAAGGTTACTAAATAATTATCTCGTAAAATCGCCGCTAGCTGCAAAGTATTTACAATAGATCCTCGAAAGCAGTTTAGATAAATGACTAATGCATAGTTTATTTGTTTAAAGCAAATTAGCTTCACCTAATAAATAAAATCTACTGGTAGGCTAAGACATATTGCAGATATGAAGACCAATGCGTGACCGTTTGCTTGATCAGTGTAAAGTGTTCCTTTTGCCTCGTTTATTCTGAATACTGACGGAGAATGCAGGATAAGCTGCGTTTCACATGGTTCCTTTATCGATCCGTCTACGTTGCGAAAACTAGGTCAAGCTAAAACATAAAATAACTAAGCCCCAATTGTTCATATGAAATTTAAGAGTCTTAATAAATAAGAGCCATGCAAACACTTACGAAAATATCAGATGAAAGGCGTGAACAAATCGGCTTCAGTTGAGGAAAATATGAAAAAGTTGTGTGCAAAGTGCCAATAAGATTTTTTAAAAATAAAGGATTACCTGGAATGTCTTGTCCGAATCGAGTACCCGAGAAGTTTGTTGGTCAGGTACCCTTACTTGAGATTGAATTTCACTCGGAAGATGAGAGACACAATTTGGACAATTGGATATAACAGTGTCCGAGGATATGAAGAAGGTCTCGAAAAGGCTGAGGCTATTTGGGTCACTCAGGGAACAATAATAATTTCCACGCTTAGCACAGGATATAGCGGCAAAAAATTAGAAGCATATGTAGCTAAATAAGGATTAGATCATACATATAATAGAAAAGTAAAATTAAGACAAGAGGATAGGCGGGATATCGGAGTGACGAAACAAATATGAAGGCCAAGAAGGAAAAACATAAATTCCATACGACCAACCAAAAGAAAATGTGTAACCGAGAGGCTTGCAGGATCTGATTGATTAAATAATTTGATTTGTCTTTCTAGCTTATTTTCCTCTAGCTTTTCATAAAAAGGGAGCAAATCTACTTCATAGGATTTTGATCAAAATTATAAGCTCATAAATAATGCTATCCTAAATTTTTCTAAACTAATGCGACAAATCAGTTGAAATAGGTACATGCAGATTAAAGTTCGCGAAATTTTAATAGGTTGTTGACAACTAAAGTCCCATATTTTTTCGTGCATAATGCAAGCCAAAATAGTATAGATTTACATGTGAAACATTCATAAATGCTAATCTAACCTTGGAATGGACTTTCTTGCATATGTAAGCAGCCATGATTGTCCAGGCAATACTTGAAGGAAATCCGTAAACATACTGGCCGATGGCTCTTCGTGATACCCACAGCTTTATAGCCTTAATCAATTGGATAAAAGATGGGTAACAAGGCACGAGCTCCCTCAGCTCGCGCGCAAGATGCACCCCTGAAAGACCTCGTATCGATGCATGATCTACGCCAAAGTAAAGTTCCTCAGGAGGTTGATTGAAATCCAAAGGAACAGGTACCGTCGAGGAGTTTAATCGACTCATAGCCATGTCAATCTATAATTCGCAAAATTGTGAAGCTTGACTTATACAATTGCGATTACAATAAGGTACAAACGTACCACGATTCCTTCAAATTTCATTTTTATTAGAGGAACTAACGTCTCTGGAACACCTAATAAGTCTTCGACATTCAGATCCTTAAGTGTTTGAATGAAAGAAGAGAAGAAATCCTCATGTTCAACGAAATGAGGAACCAATAAGACAGCATCAACATCACTACCAACACAACTCGCTCCAATTACAGTAGAACCTTGAAGAAAAACAGAGCAGGCGACATGCTTTTCGTCTAGTCTTATTTTAATATTCTAGGTTGCAGAGCAAAGTTAAAGCATGGAGAATACCTTATGTTTAGCTAAGCCAATGACCCATTTCTTTGCAATAGTTTCAATTCTTTTACATATGGCCTCTCTAGTTAGCATTTAGATGCGTCAAATAGATACTTGTTTTTCCTACTTTGCTCCGTGTCAAAGTCAAGCTGCGACCCAATGTAAAGGAGAAGCCCGTGGTCCATCGTTAAAAAATGCGGGCTATAAAGCATAACAATAATAAATTACCTATAGTTATAAAAATATAAAACAAACATAATAAATTAAAACACATGGCTAAAAACATCTTATTATAAATTTTATGAAGCGGAAATTCAAGTTGATAAAGTTTTTCTATTCACTGGTCATGCGTGGCTTCACCTTGAATCTAATATTTATCATATTTGTCATAACTCTTGGTGCGTCTTTTCAATTTGGGTATCAGGCTGGTGTGATAAACTCTCCAGAAGGGGTAAGGAATAATGATATAATTTTCCAAGTCTATTCGGCAATTCATCACCGATGTTTTGTCCTCAAGAAATCAGACTGTTTCGGATTCTTTCGTGTTGTCAATGTTCTCACTTGTTGTCGCAGCCTATCCGGCTGGAGGTATCTTAGGTGCTTTTATTGGGGGCGATATTTCCAATAAATGGGGACGGTATAATTACTTTTCATTAAATTTTAGGAAGTTAGGATTGCTTGTTTTTGATACTATTGCTTTGATATCTTCTATCATAATGATAGTGAGTAGAACTTGTCATAGCTTTGAACT